CATTAGACATTGAAAAATTATATCAACAAATCTAATCCAGTTAAAATAAGAATCTAAATATTTAAATTAAATGATTCAATTAAGTTATTATATAAATAACCGTAAATTTGTAATGCATCCCAGAACCAAATTAATATTAGAACAAATAAAATCAATTTGGACCAAAAGCTAAATTAAATTATGGGATCAAATTTAAATACAATTAACCGGCCATACGTAGATTAAATTCAATAACAAGAACTAAAAATAACTTATTAATATCCATACCCATACCATCCGGATCCAGCCACGGCCCCTTAGAATCATTGTTTAATTGTCTCATACATACATATACTAGGTACATAGGGTAATTTGAAAAAATTAAATCATGTCAGTAACTTATCTTAGATATATGAATGATCATCTAAAGTACGATACTACTTCAGACTTGTACTCTTGAAATAACTTTGCAGTATAACTCTGAAGAAAGACTCTGAAAAATGACTCTTCAGGCTTGAATTTAGAAATGAAACTATATCAATAATTACTTAAAATGAAGTTAACCCTATAATAAAATTAAATGTGTTATTTTGAACAAATATAGACATATTTTTGGCAAAAAAAAAACCTTTTATAACCGGCATGTTAACCAACAAAACTCGTCTTACAGAACTCCTTGACAACATCAGCAAGTGATAGCTGAAAGCTGTCACGATAAGCTGTCAGCGATAAGCTGAAAGCTGCTTCTTTAGTGATAGCTGGAAGCTGTCATGATAAGCTGAAAACACAAGCTGAAGGCTATCAGCAATAACTTGTCAGATTAGCTGAAGGCTGTCAGTGATAAGCTGTCAGCGATAAGCTGAAGGCTGAAGATTGTCAGCAATAACCTGTCAGATTAGCTGAAGACTGTCAGCAATAACCTGTCAGATTAGTTGAAGGCTGTCAATGATAAGCTGTCAACAATAAGCTGAAAGCTGTCACAAAAGCTGAAAACACAAGCTGAAGGCTGTCAGCAATAAGCTGTCAGATTAGCTGAAGGATGTCAGCAATAAGCTGTCAGATTAGCTGAAGGTTGTCAGTGATAAGCTGTAAGCGATAGTATAGACTTTCAACGATAGTTTACCTTAAGATTATACTGCATGTTACTAACCCATTCTGCACAAAGATATAAACATGACAATCTTTATCAATTTCGAAATTAAAACAAATTTGTTTGACTCTTGAAAGTAAAAAACTAAACGCTAATTGCAGGACGGAGATGATAAAGAATGTAAAAACTGCATGCCTTAATGATCTGAAGAGCTAGAAAAGTAGCCTATACGACTATTAGAGCCGTAAGCATCTTCCAGCATAAGTTGAACCGAAAAATTTGCTGCAAACTTCAATAAGAAAACAAGATTTAGACGTGAAGAAAATGACTTAACTGAAAAGGAAAAACATTTCGGTGTCTTCTCCTCTTTAGGAATCAGTGCATCTGTGTCAATCAGCACTAAGAACAAAAAAACACACAAACAAAGAATAAGTTAACTAAACGATTCCAAATTCGAAAACTTGCACTTTAAATACTTATTAACTTGCACTACATTGTAACTTTGGAAATTAGTCTGAATTAAATCTCGTTTAGTAGGGAAATCAATTAAACCACGATAAAAAAATATACATTTTTAGAGGGACATATGTCAACCAAATAGGCCTCTTTGAACCACTAATGTAAATTGTGTCTAGATACATGTTTAGGGGGAAAAATAAGATAACCGACTCACCAGAAGATGACATGTGTCACCCAAGTTACTTATTTATTACGGGTGTTGTGTATATATATAGTAGATTCCAGACTAACATAGTAAAATCAAGAATTAACACTCTAAAGATATTGCAATAAGAACAAAGTGTATGGAGAAACACGCCTGATTTTATTGAAAGCAAAACACAGCCTACAAAGCAATCTTACTTCATCTACTCCCATAATGAAATTCTAAACCCAAGACTTTTATTTATAGGTGCCAATACAATGTAAGCCCAATGCCCAATTACAACACAGAGAATATTTCAATACAATCACTTTATAAAACTTTCAATATCTTGGGGCTAATCTAGACCCAACAATCTCCCCCCTAGAGTTTTATAAAGGAAACATCTTCTGAAGCCTTCAGATAATCTCTCCCTGCTTTCTTTGGAAAACTTTAGTGTTGCTCATCTTCAAATAATATTTTAAGTTCTCCCTTGAATAAAGCTCTTATTCTTCAGTTTCAACATTAAAATAAGATTCAATGTGCCTTTAGCACCACTGATTGCACCAACAAGCAGCTTTAATTTGAGAGAACTCAACACAACCATGAACCTCAGAATCTCAGCCAGCCCATAAGCCTATTGATTCATCCAACAACGGGATATATAATGTGCGAGTTATGTGACATTCCATGGTGGAGAATCAGTCTAATAACAAAGAATATTTCTTTGAACCATGACTTGAATAAGCTTTCAGCTTAAGAACTTATTCTAATAAGCTCACAAAGTGGGATTTCAATAACAACTTGAATAACTAGAGCAAACATTTTTTGACAATGAAATCCGGAGAGAAATAACATTAAGAACATAGCTTCTTGGTCAGCAGTTGTCAACCAAGAAAGATAAGTCGATTTCCTTCATACTTTCAGAAGACTGAATAACCTAAAATAGATCTAAAATCCTCAATCAGATAATGACTATCAACACTCAAAACTCTAAATCACAACCATACCTCCAAAACAATGATTGTAATCAATCAAGCCTCTACTTGATCAGGTTAGACCAATGATGAGAACACTCAAAGGTCTAGTAACTCCAGAAACTCCATAACACAGATTGCAAACCTTCAAAATTCTGATTGATTACGTCAAAACTGTGATTGAAAGCACTCAACGGTCTGGCCTCTTTTGGAAAACTTTAGAGTATTGATTGCAAATACTCAAAATTCTAACCAGTCCAATCAAATACTGAATCTGTTGGTCCCGAAAGGGTCTACAAGAATAGAAATAGTTTGTAGAAGGGGGGGATGAATACAAACACATTATTTTCAAATTTAAAAAATATATTGATAAAGAAGATCAATACATATTTTATAAGACTGTTTGCGGAAAGATAAGGTAAAGAAAACCTATCTAAACAATCTTTGGTTACACACAGATCTTTAGCAATTACAGGAAAAGAGATTGTTAAAAAGATCTTTTACTTAAGCTTGAAAATGCTTGAAGTAAGATGAGAATCATTGGTTACCTTATATGGCCACTACTAATACACGTAGTAAAATTTCAACATGCTTAACATTTTCTCGCATGTTAGCATATAATATCCTTCGTAAAATGTAAATTAGGCGCACTTAGCAAATAATATGGGAAATTAGAATTGGGATGTTACATCTTTGTCCACCAACTTTAGGCAAGGATGTCTGCTCAAGAATAGTGCTTTTGTACTATTCACTGTAGCAAAGGACAAGCCTTCCTCTTAAGGCTTGCCACGCACTCTAAACCTACCATATTGCATTAAATGTTCTTTAGACCGTTTGACTAACGTATGATATTAGTCCCTTGCAAAGGAATTGACCTGGTATCATTTGATAATTACTTGTAATTTGCATTTCGAAATAAGCATGTTATGTCATGTGAATTGTTGGATTCCGGCACTTGGTCTTTGGTTATATTATGGACAACCCTTATTTCGTAAGTGTTACTCTCAATTTATTATTCATTGATATAACCATTCAATTGGTTGGTTTATGGTTCCCGTGTATTTGTATAGACTTGATTTCAATAGCATTTGTTTAGACTATTTATCTCACTAAGCCATGTGCTTATTCCGTTAGTTTACTTTTTTTTCAGGAAAGAAAGAAGATAAAGGCAAGAACCCAGTGTAGTTAGTTCATGATTAGTTTGGGGATCGTTGCCAAACCTTGGTATATATATAATTATGTCTAGTTTCTATTTTGGGTTGTAAATATATCCGGGTAGTTGTTATGTTGTCCCCATTTTTGGTTGGTAAATGTTTTAATTATAAGATTGTAAGCTTTCGTTTTGGATTTGGAAATACTTATTAAAGTATAATTAGCATTTGGTGGTTTACTTGGAAAATGATATCTCGTATGTTATGTTTTGGTGAAATCGTAACCGAGGTGTTACAAATATGGTATCAGAGCAGTGGTTTGAGGGATTTAGATATTAGAAATGATATCTAGACTCAAACCTAGGCATTGAGATCGTATAGTAACTAGGCTGTGATAAAATACGGGATAAGGACCAATAGGAGAAACCTAGGTGGGGATGGAACCAAGGATAGGGTTATATCTAATAAGTATGTGTTAAAACTTTTAGTAAATGGCTGACGGCGATGCAGCAAGCCATACACCGACAGACCCACACATGGGGAAAAACGACCTTGAGGCAAGCCATGATCAAACGATCCCTAATATTAGGGGAAATGATTCGGGTAACACTAGAAATGATGAGGAAGTCCCTACATCTCCTCGAACAGAAAGATTGATGAAAATGATGATTGATCAGATGAAATCATTGACTGATCAAATGAAAGCCGCCTTAGAGGAGCAAAGACAAGAATTTGAGAAGAGGTTAAAAGAACATAATTCGACAACCGCACCGAAACCAGACGACAAGGGGAAACATCCGATTGTAACCGATGATGTGTCAAAACCCAAAACAGATCGAGTCTCGTTCAAAGCGTTCCGTAGTAGTTGAGCAACAGAGTATAGCGGACAATCATATCCTGTTTTAGCTATGCAATGGGTTCAGAACACCGAAAAAGTGTTCCAAACTATTCGCGTATCCGACGAAGACAAGGTGAGGTATGCATCGGCTATGTTAACGGAACGAGCTTTAGTTTGGTGAGATAACACTTACGAGTCACTAGACTCGAATACTCGCGAGAACATGCTTTGGGACGAATTTCGATCAAAGTTATTTGAACAACATTGCCCAATAGATCTTCAACGTCGCCTTGAGAAAGAGTTTTGGGATTTGAAACAAGGCACCATGACTGTGATGGAGTATGAGACCGAGTTCAATCGAAAACTACGATTTGTACAAAGGTTTTTAAGTACTGAAGACGATAAGGTCGAGCGTTTTGTGGGTGGGTTACGAAAAGAAATTCGAAATTTTCTTGTAAATCGTGAAGTTCCAAGTTTTGGCAAGGYSGTAGAATTTGCTCGAAGATGCGAGCATGATCTGTCAATACCGAATGATCCAGTTCCGGCAGCAAAGCGACCATGCACTGGAAAGACGATCTCAGTCCCAACACATCAACCACCCAAGTTCTTAATGTCAAGACAGGGGCAGATGCATAACGCAGCTCGTACTACACCTCAGGCATACTCTTTACAGTCGAATGCCCCGAGGATTTGCCAAARATGCGGCAAGAATCATGCTGGACGATGCAATATTGAACCATCCAGTGTACGATGTTTTTGTTGTGGCGAGGTGGGACACGTTCGTACAACTTGTCCGCTAAAGGAGGAAGCATGCTACTCATGCGGGGTTCTTGGGCATAAACAGCGAAACTGCCCATGAGGAAAAGGAGCAGAAAACAAAGCGTCGGTACAACGACCGACTGGGACTACGACCTCCATTCAAAAGGAGGAGGTACCAAAGGCGTGTGTGCGGGCATTCCAGATCACTGCAGAAGAAGCACGTAACGAGCCTGATGTCGTGACTGGTATTTTTCTTCTTAATGAT